AGGGCAGTGTCACTGGCCCTCATATGTGGGATCCGAACCGGGGCCCTCTGGCGTCCCAAGCCAGTTCTTAACCATCGTGCCACTCGGCCGGCCCGGGAGTTGCCTTTTTATATAATCAAAAGTGAAGCAGGTGCTTTTAAGAGGAGCCCATGAATTTGAAGCTGGTGGTTCCCATCACGTTTGAAGTGGCCTTCTTGGTGCCTATTGATGATGTCACCGTGGTGCCCCAAGAACGGATTGGCCAAGGCTGGTGGTCTCTGAATGATGAGATGGCACCCTCCCAGGATCAAGTGGAAGTATACTGTGGGGCAGAGGCCAGGGTCACGATGAGTAGTCTCCGCCGACTCTTCCGGAGGGGTGAGCCTGGGCAAGGCTGGTTGGCTGGGAGGCGCTGGCTGCAGGGGATGAAGGGAGACCAGGCTCTAGGCAGGGGAGAGACCCAGGAGACGAGTTGTCCCAAAACCCTGGCGATGGCAAAGCGAGGCTTTCTCCAGTGCCAGGAGGCACACTGCCTTGTCAAGGAGCCTGGCTCTGTGCCTGCCTGCCTTCCTCCACCCCAGAAGGAAGCGCTCAAGGTGGGGAAGGGGATCTGAGTGGAGAGTGTGCTGGCTCTCACTTTTAGGCTTGGGGGACGAGTTTCCAGTCCTTACTTGATGCTGGGCAAGAGGGAATCTGATATGACGAAGAAAGGGGCTCCTATCAAAGCTCCTATCTGGTGGGGGAAGATGAGCAAAAACTGTCATTTAAAGTAGAGTGTAGGGCTGGCCTAGTTAAGGGCTCAGCTGGTTAAGAGCTTGCTTGGGAACGCCAGTTCTGAGCAGCAGGGCTGCGGTTCGGATCCCACATTGAGGGACAGTGACGCTCGCCCTCTACAGCTAAGATGATGAACAACAGCTCAACCTAGAGCTGGGCTGCTGTGAGTCGCCGGCGACGGCACAGGCCACAGCGGGGCTGCAGTGGCCTGCCGTGAGCTATCGTGAGTGGCTGGCAGCCAGCGTGAGCAGCCGGCAGCTGGTGTGAGCTACCGGGAGCCGCTGTGAGCAGCCGACCAACGACCGGTGACTGATTGCCTCACCCAGGAAGAGCATAATGATCATACCAACGTGGGCCAGTGAAGCGACATCCTCCACAACTAGACTGAAGAACAAAAACATCAATTTGTCTACCTGTCTTCCCCTTCCCTGATTCCCCAATGCTGTTCCCCTTCCCCCAATTCCCCAATAAAATCTTTTAGAAGAAAAGGAAGGAAGGAAGGAAGGAAGGAAGGAAGGAAGGAAGGAAGGAAGGAAGGAAGGAAGGAAGGAAGGAAGAGAAAGAGTGTAGCACTCCATGATGGAGATGTTCCTGAAAACCAGGGAGCACAGATGAAGCAGGCGTCAGGAGTCCAGAAGACTAGAAGTATGCCAGGTGGAGAATTGAGGTACCCCAGGAAAAGGTAACTGTGTGTGCAGAACAGGCAGGAAAGAGGATGGTATATTTAGGGGAAAGAGAAGTTCTGGTTGCTGTGTACTGAAAGGGAAAAGAAAAATAGATGTGTGAGTGGAGAGGTAATCAAGGGCCAGATCATGAAGGACCTTGTACGTCTCATTTAAAAAGTTTTGGGGCCGGCCGAGTGGCGCAATGGTTAGGAGCTGGCTTGGGACACCAGAGGGCCCCGGTTCGGATCCCACATATGAGGGCCAGTGACACTGCCCTCCACAGCTAAGATGCTGAACAACAGCTCAACCTGGAGCTGGGCTGCCGTGAGTTGTTGGCGATGGCGTAGGCTGCAGCCCCTGTGGCAGTGGGTTGCCATGGGCTACCGTGTGTAGCCGGCAGCCAGCGTGAGTGGCCAGCAGCTGCAGTGAGTGGCCATCCAGAGGGCAGGGACTGATCTGCCTCGCCCAGGAAGAGCGCGATGGTGCCAACTTGGGCCAGTGAAGCGATGTCCTCCACAACTAGACTGAAGAACAAAAAGAACAGCAACTTGTCTGTTCCCCTTCCCCCAATTCCCCAGCGCTGTTCCCATCCCCCCAATTCCCCAATTAAAAAAAATAAAAAATAAATAAAAAGTTTTGGATTTTATCCTGTAGGCAATGCAGAGTATGGAAGGATTTTAGGCAGGCAAGGGCCATCAGATTTGGGCGGGGCAGGGAGGAGGATAACTCTGTTAGAAGTACAGAAGAGGAAAGGAAAATCGAGATAAGGTTTTATTTCTCCAGCCTCCTGTGCCTCCTTCAATTTGAACCTGTGGACCTCGGGCATCTCCTAGAATAGCAAGGGAATAATAATTACAAAAAGTGACTGAATTCTGGTTGTGATAATGGGGAGGCTATGCATGTGTGGGTGCAGGGAGGATATGGGAAATCTCTGTAACTTCTACTCAGTTGTGCTGTGAACCTAAAACTGCTCTAAGAAATAAAGCCTATAAATTTAAAAAGAAAAAAGACTGGATATTACTTGAAAGGCAGCTTGGAATAGCAAAGGAATCCTGGTTTTGGAAGTCATACTGCCACATTTCAATTACTACTCAATCTCTTACTAGTGATTTTTGACAAAAAAAAAAATAGCATCTTCATGCCTGTTTTCACATTTGTAAAGTGAAGATAGTGCACTCATTGTAGAGAGTCATTTTGGGATTAAAATAACACAGTCAAGGGGCTGGCCGAGTGACTCAGTTGGTTAAGAGCTCACTCAAGAGTGCAAGCTCTGAGCAACAGGGTCGCCGGTTCGATTCCCAAGCTGAGCTGCTGCTGAGCTGCCAACAGGTGGCAGGATGGCTCAGCTAAAAAAAATAAATAAAAAATAAAATAACACAGTCAAGTGCCTAGTACATATTATGCACTCTGTGCTTGCTGGGTAATTTTTTTCCTTCATACAATGTGGGCCTGCTCCATTGGACTCCAGGAAAAAAGAAGGAGCCAACCCCTGAAGAAAAGGCACCAATAGGAAGGGCCCAGGTGGGAAGCAGGGGCTTCTGCCTATGATGTTCACGGTGTGGCCGGGTCAGCTGCCCTACAGGCTTTGTGGAGGAAGAAAAGATTGGAACAGCAGCTGGCACAAACTGATGGGACATTATTCACCCTGGAGTTTCTACATGAGGCCATTGAGAATGCCACCAGTGCAGAAGTGCTTTGAACCATGGAGCTAGCTGTCCATGGCATGAGGAAAGCCTACCAGGACATGTGGGTAAGGGGGAAGGGGCAAAGGGGGCCCAGGCCTGGGGGAGAGTAGCTTGGTATTGTATTTTAAATCTTAAAACTTCTCAGACTGTGAATTTACAATATAAATGTAAACTTATGGTGGCTAGACCTCTGTCAGCCTCCTTGCTTCCTACAAGAATATCTCTTTGCTGGCTGGGGCATTCTAGCAAAGGAAGACGATTTCCCTAATTTTTAAAGATCCTTCAAGGAAGGGAGTACAACTTATCCCACCCAATGTGGGTTCTTGCCATTTCTCAGCCCAGACTTGGAACATTAGTTTTCCAGGGATCTCTTCTACCCAGTAGCCATGGATTTATCAGTCTGAGACCACAGACTGGAGGAGCTCCATTCATGTGAGATGAAAAAATCAGGGAGGTTGTTGCCTGATTTTTTTGTCTATATATCTTCTCAGGGACATTGACAAGGTAGATGAACAGATGGCTGACATCACAGAACAACTGGAGGTGGCTCAGCAGATCTCTGATGCCATTTCTCGGCCTGTGTGCTTTGGAGATCATGTGGATGAGGTGATTGGGAGTGAGGGGTCAGGAAGTCTTAACGAAAGCATGGGACCCGCCAAAAGCAACGCCCAAGAGAATTGTGGGGCAGGTTTGTGGGGAGACTCCAGAAGTGGTATATTTTTGGAAGCAGAGGTTTCCATTCTTCATCTTGAGCAGTCTTATCATCCCTTATCCAGGATGAACTGTCAGAGGAGCTAAAGGAACTGGAGCAGGAGGAACTGGCCCGGGAGTTGTTACATGTAGGCGACAAGGAGGAAGAACCCCCAGTCAAACTGGCCCATGTACCCTCTACACAGCTGCCTGCAGGACCAGGTACCCAGGGTTGTTCTACTGTCTCAAGGACTTGAGAGGGTGGGATAGATATGGGGAGAGGTATTCCTTGTCCATCCTACCTCAAACAAACCAGGCAGAGAGGGATGCTGCTACAGTTGCGCACGTTTTTTACTGCATAAGGGCACTTGGTTAAAGGGGAATGGGGACTGAAATCCAGCCTGTGCTCCACTCAGCAAGCGCATACCCTGGTTTAGGGCTGCAAATGCTGGGAGAAAGAGACATCTTTTTCCAATTTGCACAAAAGTACTACGGGATTAGCAGCAGCCCAACAAGCAGAAGGACCTTTAGGTTCTTTTATGAGGAGACATAATTCAGCAGGTTCTGAATGTTGTGGCAGAGGGTGGTTGGAAGGTGCTGAGGCTTAACACGTCTTTCTTTCTCTGGGTATCTTTGTCCTGAAAGCTCCCGAAGCGGATGAAGATGATGAAGCACTAAAACAGTTGGATGAGTGGGTATCCTGATGAGTCTGGGCTTATCTTCCAGATGCTGCCCTCAATGGCCTCTTTTCCTTAAGTGCCAAGTGCTGAGCTAAAGGAACATAGCCTTTTTGGGAGGCCCTGCTGAGAGTGGTGGTGTAACCCTGCCTGAGAAAAAGGGTCTGTTGCCCTACCATCCCTGGCTCAACTCTGAAGAAGAGGGATCTTGGTGCAGGAGGAGCCCCTGGGCTCCCTTCATTTTGATAGCAGTTACAGTGCTCTTGTTCTCAATAAAATTTGGCAGATGGAACCCTAGTGCTTACACTGCACCTGAAACTCTCTCCCTGGCCCTTGGAGCTTTGTTTCAAGCAATGAATAATAACGGGAGTAATGAAAGGGCATTGGAACATAGAACAAATGGAGTTTCCAATATCTTACCTGGTAGATTCCAGGCAGATACTGTTTCATCTTTATAGTGGGTTTATCCTAGAATTACCTAGTGCTGAGGTTGAAGAAACTGCCATCTATTACTTAGCTCAGAACCATGTGGAGCTGTCTCTGAGTCTTCCCTCATCTCTTTCCTCCAATCAGCCTCCGCCAAGACAGCCCTATAATTCACTACCTATTTTTCTTTGTTTTAAAGATTTTATTGGTGAATTGGGGGAGGGAAACAGACAAGTTGCTGTCCTTTTGTTCTTCAGTCTAGTTGTGGAGAACGTCGCTTCACTGGCCCATGTTGGTATTATCATTGCGCTCTTCCCGAGTGAGGCAGTCGCTCGCTGGCCATTGCACCGCTGCTCATGGCGGCTCACGGCAGCTCACAAAAGCTCATGCCGGCTGCCGGCCAGCCCCACTGCAGCCTACGCCATCGCCGGCAACTCACAGCAGCCCAGCTCCAGGTCGAGCTGTTGTTCTCTGTCTTAGCTGTAGAGGGCACAGCGTCAATGCCCCACATGTGAGATCCGAACCCAGGCCCTGCTGCTCAGAGCTGGCGTCCCAAGCCAACTCTTAACCAATGAGCCACTTGGCTGGCCCCCATTTTCCTTTTGCAAAGCCAATTTCCAAGGACAGGGAGGGCGAACACAGAGATAAAGGGGGCAAGTAGCTTTCCTTTATCTAGAACCTGTAATTAATAGGCTTGGTTTGTACCATGCCCCCTGTGTCTAGGAGCAATAATGTGAGGGGCCATGGTTCACTGGGATTGTTTCAAGGTGATTAAGGTGGCATTTGGAGGAACAGAAGGAACCAAGGTACTTCACACATCCTGATACCCATTTCTAAAAAAAACAAACAGTGCCGTCCCTTCGTACTATAGACAGAGGCAGAGCCATAACCAGAGTAACCAGGGCCTCTACCCTGCGGCTTGAACATTTAGTGTGCAAAGAGAAGTAAAATGATGAGCATGTGCTTAGCTGGAATAATGAAGCTGCCCTCAAGCAGGTGTTCATCTGAGCACCCTTTCCCCCGAGGGCCACATATGAGCTACACTGTGAATTAGAATATGGACTTAACAGGTGTCAAGATTACTGTTACAGGTTCTGGGAAGAAATCCACCTCCCTGTTACCTTCATCAGTGTTCCCTGCCAAAAGAATGTCTTTTGACCCCAGCTGATGAAACTAAATCAGAATTAGATTTATTTTTGGTATAAAAGATTTTTAGCCCCAAACCCTCCTGCTTTGCTTCTCTCTCAACCCCCTTCCTCAGCCACTTTTAGGTATTGATTTCCGAGGATTGGTGACGATTCATGGTGCTGGACCTCTGGCACATAGCTTCGAGCAGCCTGATCTCATGGGTGGGTTGCTCAAGCTGGAACTTGAGCACCCAGGGATTCTTGATGATGTCCAGGATGGTGGCACGCTTGGTAGCTTGGCGTAGCATCTGGAGGACCAGGCTCTAAGGCAGGGGAGAGAGAGGTCTTGGCCTGAGCCTCCCATTGTGCCACACAGGCAATGAGCAGGGGACCTAAGAAAGAAGCAGGATAGCCCATCACACCACTCTGATGGAAGGGGTTGTGGCCCTGATCTCCTGAAGAGCCAGGTATTTAACTCCCTGGAGGGGAGGGGAAGGATGGGCTCCTTGGGGGAATCTCTTGCATAATCCCCATCTGGCCTAAAGAGGTAGAAGCTGAAACCTGCTTACCATTCACATCTAAGGTACAAAGCCCAGTGGTTGGCCCTTTAAGCCCTCCCCACTTTTCTAGGGCAGGGGCTAGAGTGTGAGATGGCTCTGGTAGGGAAGAGCCTTTCCCAGGGTTGGGAGGCCTACATTGGGTTCCCTCCATGTGTCATCCCTGAGGTCTCAGCCCTCCTGGGGGAGCCAGCCAGCACCTTGCACTCCTGGGAGATGGAGTAGTTAGGCGGGAAAGTGACCTCCTTCTGAGTCTCTTTCAGCAGCTTCTTGAGATTGGTGTCATCGAAGGGCAGATGGGCGACCACTAGAGTGTAAAGGATGACGCCCATGCTCCAGGTGTCAGACAGGAAAGGGTTGTAGGGCAAGCCTAACAAGATCTCCGGGCAAGCATAAGCAAAGCTGCCACAGTAGGTCTGGCTAAGATGGGCAAAGCAGTTCACTTGGCGGTAAGAAGATCTACTACGCAAAGCCTGGTTAGAAGGCACCATCTTGGCGAAGCCAAAGTCCGATATCTTCACATTCTCCCGCTTGTCCAGCAATAGGTTCTCCAACTTTAAGTCCCTACCAGCAGCAGAAAGGCTGGGGGTCAGGGAGAGGGCTTAGTATTAGACCCAGAGCTGAAGGGCCAGGGGTCAAAGGCTAGAGATGAGGCAAGGCATAGTGGAAAAGAGATGCCATTATGAGAACACAAGATAGAGAGGAAGGAAAGCCATGGAGTTGTGAGCAGAGCCCAAAGAGGAGAGAAGATGGTACCCGAAGACCCCTGGGAGCTCACCATTATATTTCATAAAGTGCTCTGCTCACAGTGGATACTTAATAAATGTTATTGACCAGATGACTAACATGAGAGTTGATGAATGGGCCTAGATACTGAGGAGGGAGGTTAAGGGAGGAAAAAAACAGGGCCGAAAATGGGAGATGTGCATAAAACCCCCTCGAGAGCCCAAAGGCCCCAGTCTGGGTGGCAGCACCCTCACCGGTGCACGATGCCCTTGCTGTGCAGGTAGGCGATGCCCAGGGACATCTGGGAGAACCACTTGCCAGCAACGGGCTCAGAGCATGCCCCGTGGCGCTGGATCCATTCCAGGACATCACCATGCTGAGCCAGCTCCAAAATGATGTACACTCGGGATGTGGTCTCGATGGCCTGATAGAAGTTGATGAGGCACTTGTGCCGCAGGACCTTCATTACCTGGCCCCAGAAGAGGGACCCATCAAACCTGGGAAGGGAGAACCCTGGCTGCACTCCCAGCCTTCCTACTCTCTCCCACTGCAACTTTTTCAGAACTTTGCAACAGGATCAAACCCGAGGGCTGGTGGCCTGTGGGCAAACCCTGTGCTTTGCACTGTAACTTTTTGAGGTGCTGGAGGTAAATGGGTAGGGGGAAAGAAGTTGAATTTACACCAAGTAATTTTCCTAGCTGCTTAGTGAGACATTCAGTTCTGGTTTGGGGGTTTCTGGCCCCACGCTCTCCTAACCATACCCCTTCTGAGAAACCTTAAGCAACTTGGTACCAGTCCCGTCTTCCCTTTCCAACCTGTATCTCACGGGGCAGGAACTTGTTAAGATAGTCCTCAGAAGCCTTCTTCTTTGAGATGATCTTGACAGCCACCATGATCTTCTGCTTTGTGTAGTAAGCCTCATACACCATCCCATAGGAACCACTGCCGATGACCTTGCCCACCTCATAACCATACTCCTCCATAACAGAGCGGTAGGTTGAGGTGGGTGGTGCTACCTCCTGGGTGTCTTCCTTCCCCATGGTGTTGGACTTGCTGAGAGCAGGGAGGTTTGCTACTTAAAAGCCTCCTGTCTGCTCAGAAAGCCAACACCTCGAGCCACTGAGGACTAGGGTACCAAAGTGAAGTTAGTCTCCAAATGCTTGCCTGTGTGGTCACACAAATCTGGGATGCTGGGTTCAGCTCTCCACTAGGAAATCGGAAGGGGAAGAAGGGAGTTCTTTTTGTGGACACTGGCTGTTGTTACTTCTTTCTCCTCTTGGTTACGGAACTCCCCAAGGCCCCATGTTCCGCACACATCACAATTCACCTTCTATCCACCACTGGTCACAAGGCTTTGAGAATAAAGTGTGGTTTAGAATATATTCATTACAGGAGGCACCTTTGCAATCTGGTGAGTCTCCCTCTATAGATCTGGTCCCTTCATTCATGTTTATTGAGCACCTACTATGTGCCAGGCAGTGTGCTGAATACTGGGATAAAATGTGCTCCTAGAATTTATAATCCAACATAGGAAACACAAGTGTGAGAATCAGAGCATTGCAAGGTATTGTAGAAGCATATTCTAAGGAATCTAACTTTAAAATTCTTTTTTTTTTTTCAAATTGAGCTAGGCTTAGTTGGGTGGTTCATCTGGTGGTCTCATCTCAGCTGGGATGGTTTCTGCTGCATAGTCTCTTTAACCAGCAGACTAGCCTGAGTTCCCTAACACAGTGGCGGTGAATTTCAAGAGAAATGAAAAAGCACAAGTTGCATGACCATTTGAGGCTTGGCTCCAGAATCATAAAGCATCACTTCCATACCTTTACGAGTAAAGACATTTACAAGGTTACAAGGATCACTCAGCTTGAAGGGGTGGAGAAATGAAGCCCACCTCTTTGAAATGCATTCTTATCCTTGAAATGCATTATTTTTGCTTTCATGAACCTGAACTCTACTTCACCCTTAAGTCCAAGGCATAAATCTGACTTTATTCTCATTTAAAACCATGTCTCCTCATTCTCCTCAGGATTAAGTCCAAATTCTCTTATGTGGCTTCTAGATACCCTGCATACCTTTCCAATTTTACCTTCTAACATACACACAATGCTCCTAACAGAATTGCTTTTCCTTATTGTTCCCTCTGTTCTGACAAACTCTTGCTCTCCCTTCAGGACTTAACTGCTGAATTGTTTTAAGGAAGCCTTGACTGACTGCTCAAGCCCAAATTAGATGTTCCTCTCTCCTGGATGCTCCCACAGCCACAATACTTTCTCTGTCACAGCACCTACCATCGTGTCTATAATTACTTTTCCAGCCTGCATTTTCCACTAAGCTATAAGGGAGGTCAACTGAGGGAGATGAAGTCAGAGGTTTGAGAAGAATGGGTTGTGGAGAATGCTAGAGCTGACTTGGAAAACGAGCAGGATCACAGGGGCAACTTTGAGGGACCAATTGAGGTTGGAGAACAAAATTTAGACACATGATCTTAACACTATGATGTGTTAAGCATTCTGGGTGTATAGGTGCTTCCATATTGACAGATGGATTAACCCAAGATTAAGGTTTCACTTGGCAACTGCAATGAAAGAATAATGGGAGAGAGGCATCAAGAACACAGGCAAGAATGTGGCTGAAATGATGGAATGCAGAATCTAAGCTGCATGGGTTAGGAAGACAAGCTGGAAAAAGGCCAAAGGAGCAGGGGGAGGGGCTGCAGGTCTCAGTGAAATGGAAAAACAAATTTGGTGGGAATGACAGGACAAAAGGTTGTAGCATAGAGGGTTGTCTGGATTTAAGATTTGGGGGGAGGGGCTGGGGCATACAGAGGAAAAACAAGGGAAGAATCAGATTTCTTGTATCTTACATCTTCCAAAACAAAACAAAAACTCCAACAGGTTATGCCATAGGCTACTGATAAATTCCCATTTACTGACAGCCTGACCTAGCTGGCAAGATGGCTCCAAAGTCCTGCTGGAACCCAGATCTAGATGAGCACTTGTCTAGGGCACACCTGTGGTAAGGAGCCACACCCAGCCCTGCTTACCTTCTGCTCCCCCAGATAAGTAGCTGGCTCCCAGGTAGCTTGGTGGCAGCTCTGTTCTCATTATGTACAGAGGATAAATGAGTTCATTCAAGGAACATGTATTAATTTGCTTACTACATACAAAAGCACTGCTAGGTCCTGAGGATACCAAGATGGATAAATTATAGTCTTCCTGTGAGGCGTTAGCAATTTCTAAGGGAGACAGACATATAAAAAGTAAAATAAGGGCCAGATGAGTGGCGCGTTGGTTAAGAGCTAGCTTGGGACACCAGCTCTGAGCAGCAGGGCCCCGGTTCGGGTCCCACATGAGGGCCAGTGACACTGCCCTCTACAGCTAAGATGGTGAACAATAGCTCGACCTGGAGCTGGGCTGCCATGAGTCGCCGGTGACAGCATAGGCTGCAGCCCCTGCTGCAGTGGGCTGCCATAAGCTACCGTGAGTGGCCAGCAGCCAGCGTGAGCAGCCCGCAGCCGGCGACTGATCTGCCTCACCCGGGAAGAGCACAATGATGGTGCCAACTTGGGCCGGTGAAGCAACGTCCTCCATAGCTGGATTGAGGAACGAAGGGACAGCAACTTGTCTGTTCCCCGTCCCCCAATTCCCCAACGCTGTTCCCCTCCCCCAATTCCCCAATAAAATCTTTAAAAAAAAAAAAAAAGTAAAATAATAGTACAGTAAGGCAAAGTGCTAGAAACAAAGCCTGGAAGATGTAAGGGTAGTCTTTATAGAGAAGGTGGCGGTGTTTGCACTATTCAAGTCTCCAGGCAGGTAAAGAATAGGAGATTGGGCAGTCCAGGCAGAAGAAACTACATGAGTCTTGCAGTCTTGAGAGAACATGACATTTAAAATTTCAATTTGAATACAGGCTAGGATTCCAGAGGGGAATGTATCTAAAGAAATAATTAAGATCCAGGTCTGAGAGGCCTCATATGCCCAGCTTTGTTGACTTTATGTACTCATGGTCAAATTTTGGTGTGTATCAAAACCAGAGCTTGTTAAAAAATACCTTATGGGGCCGGCCGAGTGGCACGATGGTTAAGAACTGGCTTGGGACGCCAGATGGCCCCGGTTCGGATCCCACATATGAGGGCCAGTGACACTGCCCTCTGCAGCTAGGATGCTGAACACCTCAACCTGGAGCTGGGCTGCCGTGAATCGCCAGCAACTGGGTAGGCTGCAGCCCCTGTGGCAGTGGGTTGCCATGAGCTGCCGTTTGTGGCCAGCAGCCAGCGTGAGCGGCCAGCAGCCACATTGAGCGGCCATCCAGAAGCTGGCGACTGATGTGCCTCGCCTGGGAAGAGCGCAATGATGGTGCCAACTTGGGCCAGTGAAGTGACGTCCTCCACTAGACTGAAGAACAAAACGAGAGCAACTTGTCTGTTCCCCTTCCCCCAATTCCCCAGCACTGTTCCCATCCCCCCAGTTCCCCAATAAAAAATCTTTAAAAAAAACAAACGAAAAAAAAACCCTTATGCCCAGTCACCCATTCATCGAATGTCCAGATTTGGTGGGACCCAGGTATCTATGTTTTTAGTAAGCTTCTAGCTGAATCTAATGCACACCAAAATTTAAGAATCACTGTTGCAGGAAATAGGACACTTTCAGGATTTAAAAAAAAAAAAAAATTCTTGCAGCAGCAGTGAGGAAAAATGGATCCAAGGGGGATGGTGACCAGGAAACTAGCAAGGTAGCTGTCATGGTAATTTAGGTGAGAGGAACGGCCTGAACCAAGATATCCGTGGAAGGCAGGTATTTCAAAGATATTCAGGAAATAAACACAGGGGGCTTGGTGGCACTGATCTGGGGGGCAGAGGGAATTGAAAAAGGGGCGCAGGTTTCTGACTTTAGAGATCAGGGGGCTGGCACTTAAAGACTATTCCAAAGCCACCCAAAGTTACAAAATTCACTGATTGTCTAAAATACTCAACCTTCAACCCTTTACTTCCTGAAACCTCACTTCCTCCTCCAGGGAGGAGGGCTGTGTCAGAGGGGGCAGATGTGAGTAAATAGAGGTCTTTTGGGGCCAAAAGCCACTTCTAACTTTCTGCTATACTACTTTCCCCAGGAAAAGGGAAACTTAAGTCAGCTCCCTTACATGATGCTCCCAGATGGCCAAAGGAAAAGTCACTGCCCCTGGGTCTGACCTCCAGGGGAACTTCCCTAATGGCAGATCCCCTTAAAAGAGCTGAGACAAATAAGGGTAAACGTTTCCAGAATAATCTGCAATACAAAATTAAGAGAAGCCCAAATATACACCAATAAATAAGAACAAAAACATGGAAGCAACGGACGTATGGCAAGATTCTTTACCTGCAATTAACGATAATCTTGTCAAGCTGCCCAACTCACAGGGTAAAAGCGCAGACACCTTAACTCTTTGTGTTCCTCTGCATCAGACCTGGCTCAGGCTTGCCTATCCTAGGTCACAGACCGGTCATTGCACAGCCAGGATGGCCTCCAGTACAAGCTTTGGGAAGATATATTTTTTTAATTTTTTGGCGGCAGGCCATTTATGACGGGTAGGTGAGAAGCAATGAGGTGAGATACAGACTCTAGGCCCCTTCTATGGGCTGTGCCCTCGCTGTCCTAGCACAGCGACGCCCGAAGCCTCACCCCCGCCCAGGCTGGGGGCCATGAACCGTTCAGAGATCGGCCTCAGCGGTCAGTGGCGAGTCCCATTGGTGCAGCCGTCAACTGCTTTGGGCGTCCACTAGGTGTGGGCACAGCCGCGGCCCGGGTATCGTGTCACTCGGCGCGCGCGGCGGGCACTGCTCTCAAGGCCTCCGCCCCAAACCTTCCCGGGGATGGGCGGGAGACCCGGCGGCGACTCTTTTCCCGAAGGGGCGTCTGCGTCCTCGTAGCCAGGCTTCAGGACCGCAGCCCGCTCCCCGGGGCACCGTCGGCTGGGGCGCCGAGGGCCACAGAGGCGAGGCCGCAGTTCCCTCCAGGTTCCAGGAAGGAGGTTCCCGCAGGCCTGAAGCCCCCGCTGGTGAAAGCGGAAGTGGTAAGACTGACGTGTCTTGGGCTGCTCTTCAGATTGCCGGGAGGGCCCTCCGCCGGCGGAGAAGCTAGCTGAGCCTTGCGGGGTCTCCAGAGCTGGGCTGGGGCTCCCGCTGCAGAAAGCTCATCGACGAATACTTCAGAGTTGAGTGAGGGTTCCCTCGCGGTTTGGTTACAGTTGCTGCCATCAGGCACAGCCACGGCCAACCTCGTGGAGGTTGGTCGTCAGGTCCTCTCCAGGCCGCCCCAAGCGCGCCGCTCTGGGGGAGACCCCAGCAGGAGCCCAAGGGTAGCTACGGGCCGCAGAGGACGCTGGCGCCGCCTCTGCCGGCCCTTCCCGCGTGGTGAGGACCCCAGGGCTGCAGAGGGAAGGTGCCTGAGGTGTGAGGCCTCGTGGCGTTGCCATGGAAACGGGCTGAGGCGCGCGGGGCGGCCCAAGCCAGGCGGGCTGCGGGAGGAGGGAGTCCCGAGTTGAGGACAAGAGAGCAGAGGTGGAGTCTAGTTTTGGGGACAGAAATATGACGTGGTGTGGGGGTCAGGAGGTGGACTTATGAGGGAGGGTGGAAGAGACCAAAGGGAGTAATTGCAGCCATTGAGCATCAGTCAGTTTGAAGGGCTTGACCTGGGGTGTCATGAGTTGATCCCTGGTTTCCATAATCGCAGGACTCCCCCCAAACAGGTTCCGCTGCCTTAAGGATGACAGTTCTAGGGCACCCTCGAAGTTGGAACTGTCAGTGGTTGCCACTCCTGATGCTGCTGCTGGGCACAGGCCGTGAGCCAGGGGTGGAAAGTGTGACACACTACAAGGCTGGCGACCCCGTCATTCTGTATGTCAACAAAGTGGGACCCTACCATAACCCTCAGGAGACTTACCACTACTATCAGCTTCCAGTCTGCTGCCCTGAGAAGATACGTCACAAAAGCCTTAGCCTGGGTGAAGTGCTGGATGGTGATCGAATGGCTGAGTCTTTGTACGAGATCCGCTTTCGGGAGAATGTGGAAAAGAGAATTCTGTGCCACATGCAGCTCAGTTCTACACAGGTCAGCCTCTCCACATAGGCTAGAACTTAGCCCTACCTCCTAAAAACTACTAACAGTGCCACATTTATGGTTTTCAAATCATCTTTATATTAATTATCTGACTTGGTTCTAACTACAACTCCATGTAGCAGGCAAGGCAGATGGTATTATTTGCATTGTTGAAGAAACATACTTGCTCAGAGGTGACTATTTCAAGACTACTTCGATAGTTAATTGCGGAGCTGATATTAGAGAGCCCAGGGCTCCTGACTCCAAGCTTTTCTGCTGGTAATAAAGTCCCAACTATCACTGCTACAGTTAATTCCTTCCATACCTACCTCTCGACCCTTTCTTAACTGGCTTCTTTACACTCTATCCAATCTTCCCTGTCGTGCTTTTTTCTTTAGCAAATCTTATCTTAGAGCACTTTTCCTTAATCTACACCAGAACTTCTTATACCTTGCCTCTCCTTTTTCTAAGCCTTAACCCTGTCAAGTCATACTTGCTCTTTTTGGAGAATCCCAACATACTAGGGTCTAAACCAGTGGTTCTCAAGAGGGGGCAGTTTTATCTCCTAGGGGATATTTGGCACTGTCTGAAGATATTGAGATATCACATCACTATTGAGGGGTGCTACTGACATCTCATGAGAAGCCAGGGATGGTGTATCTTACAATGCACAGGACAGCCCCCAACAACAAAGAATTATGCAGCCCAAATGTCAGTAGTGCCGAGATTGAGAAACCTTGCTCTAACCCTATGCCTGGGGAGGCCTTGTCTGATTCCTGACTTGCTCTTTGTAGGTGGAACAGCTGCGCCAGGCCATTGAGGAATTGTACTACTTTGAATTTGTGGTGGACGACTTGCCACTCCGTGGCTTCGTGGGCTACATGGAGGAGAGTGGCTTCTTGCCTCACAGCCACAAGATAGGACTTTGGACCCATTTGGACTTCCACCTAGAATTCCATGGAGATCGAATTATATTTGCCAACGTCTCAGTGCGGGATGTCAAGCCCCACAGTTTAGATGGGTTACGGCCTGATGAGTTCCTAGGCCTCACCCACACTTACAGTGTGCGTTGGTCTGAGACTTCAGTGGAGCGTCGGAGTGATAGGCGCCGTGGTGATGATGGTGGTTTCTTTCCTCGAACATTGGAAATCCACTGGTTGTCCATCATCAATTCCATGGTGCTTGTGTTTTTATTGGTGGGGTTTGTAGCTGTCATTCTCATGCGTG